TCTTTTGCAAACCTCAGCCTGGCTCTTCTTTGCTTCTCATTGATGAAGGGCTTTTTTCTAGCTTTGCACGACTTCAGCCCTGCCCCTAGGAGTCTGTTTCGAACCGTCCTCAAGCCATCAAACAAAGCCGAGGCTGCTTGAATTTTTGCGCCAGGAGTGGCATAAAGTTGCCCAACATCAATGTGAAAGACTGGTGGAGAGCATGCCAAGATGCATGAAAGCTGTGATTGAAAAATCAGGGTTATTCCACCAAATATTGATTACTGAACTCTTCCTTACTTAAAACATTAGTATTGTGTTGTTTAAAAATGAACATTAACTTATTTTCTTTGCATTATTCGAGGTCTGACAACACTGCATCTTCTTTGTTATTTTGACCAGTTGTCATTTTCTGCAAATAAATGCTCTAAATGACAATATTTTTATTTGGAATTTGGGAGAAATGTTGTCAGTAGTTTATAGAATAAAACAAAAATGTTAATTTCACACAAACACATACCTATAAATAGTGAAACCAGAGAAACTTATATTTTTGCAGTGGTCTCTTCTTAATTTTTTCCACAGCTGTGTATATATATATATATATATATATATATATATATATATATATATATATATATATATATATATACAGTGGGGAGAACAAGTATTTGATACACTGCCGATTTTGCAGGTTTTCCTACTTACAAAGCATGTAGAGGTCTGTAATTTTTATCATAGGTACACTTCAACTGTGAGAGACGGAATCTAAAACAAAAATCCAGAAAATCACATTGTATGATTTTTAAGTAATTAATTTGCATGTTATTACATGACATAAGTATTTGATACATCAGAAAAGCAGAACGTAATATTTGGTACAGAAACCTTTGTTTGCAATTACAGAGATCATACGTTTCCTGTAGGACTTGACCAGGTTTGCACACACTGCAGCAGGGATTTTGGCCCACTCCTCCATACAGACCTTCTCCAGATCCTTCAGGTTTCGGGGCTGTCACTGGGCAATACGGACTTTCAGCTCCCTCCAAAGATTTTCTATTGGGTTCAGGTCTGGAGACTGGCTAGGCCACTCCAGGACCTTGAGATGCTTCTTACGGAGCCACTCCTTAGTTGCCCTGGCTGTGTGTTTCGGGTCGTTGTCATGCTGGAAGACCCAGCCACGACCCATCTTCAATGCTCTTACTGAGGGAAGGAGGTTGTTGGCCAAGATCTCGCGATACATAGCCCCATCCATCCTCCCCTCAATACGGTGCAGTTGTCATGTCCCCTTTGCAGAAAATCATCCCCAAACAATGATATTTCCACCTCCATGCTTCACGGTTGGGATGTTGTTCTTTGGGTTGTACTCATCCTTCTTCTTCCTCCAAACACGGAGAGTGGAGTTTAGACCAAAAAGCTCTATTTTTGTCTCATCAGACCACATGACCTTCTCCCATTCCTCCTCTGGATCATCCAGATGGTCATTGGCAAACTTCAGACGGGCCTGGACATGCGCTGGCTTGAGCAGGGGGACCTTGCGTGCGCTGCAGGATTTTAATCCATGACGGCGTAGTGTGTTACTAATGGTTTTCTTTGAGACTGTGGTCCCAGCTCTCTTCAGGTCATTGACCAGGTCCTGCCGTGTAGTTCTGGGCTGATCCCTCACCTTCCTCATGATCATTGATGCCCCACGAGGTGAGATCTTGCATGGAGCCCCAGACCGAGGGTGATTGACCGTCATCTTGAACTTCTTCCATTTTCAAAAAACTGCGTCAACAGTTGTTGCCTTCTCACCAAGCTGCTTGCCTATTGTCCTGTAGCCCATCCCAGCCTTGTGCAGGTCTACAATTTTATCCCTGATGTCCTTACACAGCTCTCTGGTCTTGGCCATTGTGGAGAGGTTGGAGTCTGTTTGATTGAGTGTGTGGACAGGTGTCTGTTATACAGGTAACGAGTTCAAACAGGTGCAGTTAATACAGGTAATGAGTGGAGAACAGGAGGGCTTCTTAAAGAAAAACGAACAGGTCTGTGAGAGCCGGAATTCTTACTGGTTGGTAGGTGATCAAATACTTATGTCATGCAATAAAATGCAAATTAATTACTTAAAAATCATACAATGTGATTTTCTGGATTTTTGTTTTAGATTCCGTCTCTCACAGTTGAAGTGTACCTATGATAAAAATTACAGACCTCTACATGCTTTGTAAGTAGGAAAACCTGCAAAATTGGCAGTGTATCAAATACTTGTTCTCCCCACTGTATATATATATACATACAGTGAGGGAAAAAAGTATTTGATCCCCTGCTGGTTTTGTACGTTTGCCCACTGACAAAGACATGATCAGTCTATAATTTTAATGGTAGGTTTATTTGAACAGTGAGAGACAATAACAACAAAATAATCCAGAAAAACGCGTTGTCAAAAATGTTATCAATTGATTTGCATTTTAATGAGGGAAATAAGTATTTGACCCCTTTGCAAAACATGACTTAGTACTTGGTGGCAAAACCCTTGTTGGCATTCACAGAGGTCAGACGTTTCTTGTAGTTGGGCACCAGGTTTGCACACATCTCAGGAGGGATTTTGTTCCACTCCTCTTTGCAGATCTTCTCCAAGTCATTAAGGTTTCGAGGCTGACGTTTGGCATCTCAAACCTTCAGCTCCCTCCACAGATTTTCTATGGGATTAAGGTCTAGAGACTGGCTAGGCCACTCCAGGACCTTAATGTGCTTCTTCTTGAGCCACTCCTTTGTTGCCTTGGCCGTGTGTTTTGGGTCATTGTCATGCTGGAATACCCATCCACGACCCATTTTCAATGCCCTGGCTGAGGGAAGGAGGTTCTCACCCAAGATTTGACGGTACATGGCCCCGTCCATCGTCCCTTTGATGCGGTGAAGTTGTCCTGTCCCCTTAGCAGAAAAACACCCCCAAAGCATAATGTTTCCACCTCCATGTTTGATGGTGGGGATGGTGTTCTTGGGGTCATAGGCAGCATTCCTCCTCCTCCAAACACGGCGAGTTGAGTTGATGCCAAAGAGCTCGATTTTGGTCTCATCTGACCACAACACTTTCACCCAGTTCTCCTCTGAATCATTCAGATGTTCATTGGCAAACTTCAGACGGGCCTGTATATGTGCTTTCTTGAGCAGGGGGACCTTGCGGGCGCTGCAGGATTTCAGTCTTTCACAGCGTAGTGTGTTACCAATTGTTTTCTTGGTGACTATGGTCCCAGCTGCCTTGAGATCATTGACAAGATCCTCCCGTGTAGTTCTGGGCTGATTCCTCACCGTTCTCATGATCATTGCAACTCCACGAGGTGAGATCTTGCATGGAGCCCCAGGCCGAGGGAGATTGACAGTTCTTTTGTGTTTCTTCCATTTGCGAATAATCGCACCAACTGTTGTCACCTTCTCACCAAGCTGCTTGGCGATTGGCTTGTAGCCCATTCCAGCCTTGTGTAGGTCTACAATCTTGTCCCTGCCATCCTTGGAGAGCTCTTTGGTCTTGGCCATGGTGGAGAGTTTGGAATCTGATTGATTGATTGCTTCTGTGGACAGGTGTATTTTATACAGGTAACAAACTGAGATTAGGAGCACTCCCTTTAAGAGTGTGCTCCTAATCTCAGCTCGTTACCTGTATAAAAGACACCTGGGAGCCAGAAATCTTTCTGATTGAGAGGGGGTACTTATTTCCCTCATTAAAATGCAAATCAATTTATAACATTTTTGACATGCGTTTTTCTTGATTTTTGTTGTTGTTATTCTGTCTCTCACTGTTCAAATAAACCTACCATTAAAATGATAGACTGATCATTACTTTGTCAGTGGGCAAACATACAAAACCAGCAGGGGATCAAATACTTTTTTCCCTCACTGTATACAGTACCGTTCAAAAGTTTGGGGTCACTTAGAAATGTAATTGTGTTTGAAAGAAAATAAAAAAAATTGTCCATTAAAATAACATCAAATTGATCAGAAATACAGTGTAGACATTGTTAATGTTGTAAATGGCTATTGTAGCTGGAAACGGCTGATTTTAAATGGAATATCTACATAGGCGTACAGAGGCCCATTATCAGCAACCAGTCCTGTGTTCCAATGGCACGTTGTGTTTGCTAATCCAAGTTTATCATTTTAAAAGGCTAATTGATCATTAGAAAACCCTTTTGCAATTATGTTAGCACAGCTGAAAACTGTTGTGCTGATTAAAGAAGCAATAAAACGGGCCTTCTTGAGACTTCTTGAGTATCTGCAGCATCAGCAATTGTGGGTACTATTACAGACTCAAAATGGCCGGAAACAAAGAACTAAGACTCGTCAGTCTATTCTTGTTCTGAGAAATGAAGGCTATGCGAGAAATTGCCAAGAAACTGAAGATCTCGTACAACGCTGTGTACTACTCCCTTCACAGAACAGCGCAAACTGCCTCTAACCAGAATAGAAAGAGGAGTGGGAGGCCCGGTGCACAACTGAGCAAGAGGACAAATACATTAGAGTGTCTAGTTTGAGAAACAGACGCCTCACAGGTCCTCAACTCGCAGCTTCATTAAATAGTACAGGCAAAACACCAGTCTCAACGTCAACAGTGAAGAGGCGACTCTGGGATGCTGACCTAGGCAGAGTTGCAAATAAAAAGCTATATCTCAGACTGCCCATCTTAATGTTTTGTTTTTATTGGCCAGTCTTGGCTTTTTCTGTGCAACTCTGCCTAGAAGGTCAGCATCCCAGAGTCGCCTCTTCACTGCTGACGTTGAGACTGGTGTTTTGCGGGTACAATTTAATCCATTTTAAAATTCAGGCTGGAAGTCAAGGGGTGTGAATAATTTCTGAAGGCACTTTAAATTATGTTTAAATTATTTGTTTATTAAAGTAAAGGATGTGTACACATACTCTGATTATTATACTGTTATTAATGTTCATATTTACTGGTATACTGAGTCTAAAGAGAGGAAGATAGAAAGCTTTATATTCAACCCCACCTTCCAGAATGCACTGTTCTGTAGTTCCAGGGGTCACCCCCTAGAGTAGTCCTCCTAGCGGTTAGTTATGGAAGTGTAGGTTCACGTCGCTCTCTCTCTCGTCGGTCTTGCCTCCGTGAGACACCGGCGCACCATATGCCTCCCAAAACAAGACACAGTGAAGCAAAGCAAAGTATTGAATAAGTAGCAAGATAACATAGCTAACGGACATCAAGCTAGCTAGCTATCTTAGCTAACTGTGCCATGGACCCACGAGACACAGCACCGGATTCGTGGGAGCAGGAGGAGGATGCCAAGGCCCGAGCCGCCGCGGGACTCCAGTCCGCGCTCGCCGCTCTCAACGTCAATGCCAAGCCATTTGTCCCGAATGTCGACGCGGTGGTGTTTGTACCGACCTTCCTTCAAAGCAGCCCCACGGAAATCCCAAATTCCGACGGTCACGGTAGGTTAGTGCGTACTTGTGGTGGAGTGTTGGATTAACGAGATGTTGACAGCTGCTGTTATTGCCAGGGGTTAACAAGGTTAGCTAGATAGCTAGCTTGAGTTTGTAGCTAGCAAACTCACTAGGCTAGTGTTGTAGCTATGATATTGCTTAACACTGTGACAGCTTTGACATGATGGTGTAACGTTTATAACTAGGCCTACTGCTCATGATGAATTATTGTTAAGCCTTCACCCATACTGAATCTGATATGGTGATTCCTATTCCTAAAGCTCCAATGTCCATTTAATGCCAATGATGAATGCAACAACTTGTCTCTTCACAGATGCTGAGCCAGTTGCCAGCATGGAGGTTTTAGAAACAGTTGGTATGTTTTGTGTCTATTATTATATTATTGTGTAGTTAAGTGTTCTTCCTTCCTTTACTTCCCTTTTTCACACAGTTGTTGTACTTTACACAATTATTGTTTTGGACTATCACAGACAGTATCAGATGTATTTGTTGAAGGTATGTATCACAGGTGTTTTTTTAAAAGGCCTTAGGTCTTTTTACCTGTAGAAGGTTGCCTTGCCAACTCCCACCCAACTAATTCCAGAAGAGATTACAAATGTCCTTCAGTCAGTATTGTTTACCTTTCATTCATTCAGAAATTGAAATCTCTTCAGGCCTACTGCTCACTGGGAGGTAGTCTATGCCCAAAGGCCAGCTCTGGGAGACATGACAAGGTCCAACTGGGAGGGTTGGCAGGCTCCCAGTCCCTACATGCACATCTATAGCATGATGCAACATCACAGGCCTATGCTTAAAATAGACTAGTACACTGGGACATGTGGAAACACATAGAAAATATATATAACCAAATGGGCCACAGTCCAGTTCTTGTATTTACAGGGAACGTTTCTGTAGAGATGTACTATGTTGACCAGCCGTATATATGTGCTGAGGTCAGGTGTTTAAATTTGGCCAGAGAACACTGCCGTTGTGCACATCTACTCAGGTTACATAGGCCTGATTTATGTTAGTGTGACACCTGGCTGCAACTGCAGCCTGCCAGAGAGAGAGAAGACATGATGGGAAGGGAATTCAAATCAAATCAAATCAAATTTTATTTGCCACATGCGCCGAATACAACAGGTGTAGACATTACTGTAAAATGCTTACTTACAGCCCTTAACCAACAATGCATTTATTTGTTAATAAAAAAGTAAAATAAAACAACAACAACAAAAAAGTGTTGAGAAAAAAAGAGCAGAAGTAAAATAAAATGACAGTAGGGAGGCTTTATACAGGGGGGTACCGGTGCAATGTGCGGGGGCACCGGCTAGTTGAGGTAGTTGAAGTAATATGTACATGTGGTAGAGTTAAAGTGACTATGCATAAATAATTAACAGAGTAGCAGCAGCGCAAAAAGATGGGGTGGGGAGGCAGTGCAAATAGTCCGGCTAGCCATGATTAGTTGTTCAGGAGTCTTATGGCTTGGGGAAAGAAGCTGTTGGAGAAGCCTTTTGGACCTAGACTTGGTGCTCCGGTACCGCTTGCCGTGCGGTAGCAGAGAGAACAGTCTATGACTAGGGTGGCTGGAGTCTTTGACAATTTTGAGGGCCTTCCTCTGACACCGCCTGGTATAGAGGTCCTGGATGGCAGGAAGCTTGGCCCCAGTGATGTACTGGGCCGTACGCACTACCCTCTGTAGTGCCTTGCAGTCGGAGGCCGAGCAGTTGCCATACCAGGCGGTGATGCCACCAGTCAGGATGCTGTCGATGGTGCAGCTGTATAACCTTTTGAGGATCTGAGGACCCATGCCAAATCTTTTCAGTCTCCTGAGGGGGAATAGGCTTTGTCGTGCCCTCTTCACGACTGTCTTGGTGTGTTTGGACCATGATAGTTCGTTGGTGATGTGGACACCAAGGAACTTGAAGCTCTCAACGTGTTCCACTACAGCCCCGTCGATGAGAATGGGGGCGTGCTCTGTCCTCTTTTTTTTTCTTGTAGTCCACAATCATCTCCTTTGTCTTGGTCACGTTGAGGGAGAGGTTGTTATCCTGGCACCACACTGCCAGGTCTCTGACCTCCTCCCTATAGGCTGTCTTATCGTTGTCGGTGATCAGGCCTACCACTGTTGTGTTGTCGGCAAACTTAATGATGGTGTTGGAGTCGTGCCTGGCCATGCAGTCATGGGTGAACAGGGAGTACAGGAGGGTACTGAGCACGCAGAGTGACTGGTGAAGTTACCTCGTGGGTTTATAGTTCAGAACAAAGATGCAGATGTTTTCTATGGTATTCCATGCATGACTCTCCGAGCAGTTTTCATCATCATGACTATTCTCCAGTGCTGATTGTGAATGACAAGCATTGAGAAGAGAACCGGCATTGTACATGATCAGCCAATTGTTTAATTTCATGGATGAGGAGGTGCAGGCCTTGTTTATATGCTGCTATGGGAAGAGTTTTTTGACACACTAATCTGCTGATTTTATTAGCAGGTTTCTACATTTGCGTCAGTGCTAGATGCACTTTAATTTCTTTAAAGAATGCATTTCATTTGTTCAATGTAAGGTTAGCTATATCACTATCAAATAATTAGATTAAACATTCATGGCATAGGTGACCACAACTATGTAAAAATGTGTAATAAGCCAATTTCATTGTCATATTGTGTGAGGTCAAAGAGCATTGTTTGAAGAGAACAGCCAATCACCGTACAGTCCAGCACACAGTTTAGATGCTCCTAGATGCTCCATCAAAACCCTGAGATCATCTGAAAAGTGTGCCGGTACTCTCCTTTCTGTTCACAAGCGATCTCATATACCCATCATGCACCTGTGAAATCTGCTGGCTGTGCGGACTACCTTCAACAAAAGAGCATTGTTTCATGGTCTACATCAGTGGTAAACGAGTGCCGTTTGTGTCCTTTAGCTCCGGTGGAGCCGGTGGAGAACGGAGGAGGGACAGAAGCAGACATGGCGGTGGAGGTGGAGACGTGGGAGCAGAAAGAGGAGACCGGGGAAGGAGAACCAGGAGGAGGGGGAGCCCTGGGAGGAGAGGGGGGTTCCAGTGAGAAGGCGCAGGGAAAGGAGGAAGAGGAGATGATGGAGGAGGAAGAAGAAGAGGAGTTGCCCGTGCTAAAAGTGATCCCGCTTCCACCAGATGCCCCGAAGAAGGAGCATGTCAATGTGGTGTTCATCGGTCATGTGGGTGCGTCCCTATTGTGTACTATTACTTCATGGTTTTCTTTCGTACATAGTTTTTCTCCCTGGACAGAGAGCAAATGCTCTTAGAAATTGCCTGTGTATTCATTTGGATTGAAGACCACTTCTTTTTTTTCAGATGCTGGTAAATCAACTATTGGAGGACAGATCATGTGAGTAATAACATGGTTATCAATAACTATTCCTACATTCAGGTTACTGAAGATGGCTAAACATTTTCTTCTACATTATGATAACCATTGCTACTAATACCATGGCTATCTAAAAATAAAATGTTCTGTCCTATATTTATCAGATCAGGCAATCTCTGTTTTTCTTTCTTATCGTAGGTATTTGACAGGTATGGTGGAGAAAAGAACCCTGGAGAAATATGAAAGAGAAGCAAAAGAAAAAAACAGAGAAACATGGTGAGCTTACCTTCTGTTGTGTCTAGATTCAGTTATGTGTATGGTTGAAAACAATACAAATGAAGTTTGCATATTACTTTTTCATCTAGGGTCCGACATGAGAAAATAAGATAGCCTATTTTTAGTCATACATTTTAGGCACTCTGTTTTTTTTTTCTGCTCCCCAGGTACCTGTCATGGGCCCTGGACACCAACCAGGAGGAGAGAGACAAGGGAAAGACAGTGGAGGTTGGGAGAGCCTACTTTGAGACAGAGAAAAAGCACTTTACTATCCTGGATGCCCCCGGCCACAAAAGCTTTGTCCCCAACATGATTGGTGGGGCATCACAGGCTGACTTGGCAGTGCTGGTGAGTTTTCCCCAACAATGCTTAGCGGAAGGCATTGTATTGTCCACTTTTCATATCTACTGTGTCGAGGCAAAACAGGCGCCTGTGTACCTGTTAGTTGGAACGTTGCCATCATCAAATCAACGTTTATTGGTCGCGTACACAGTAAACTTTGAGTTGACTGGGACTGCATTTTTTTGAAATAGATTTTTTTATGAGAAGAAGAGGACTAACTTACTGTATAATGAGAGAGTAGATTCTAACATGCATTTTAGTTTTGAAAACGACACTGTAGATAATGACATATACAGTATGTACAGTACTGTATGGATACCCCAGTACCCTAGTTGTTTATCAGTATCTTCTGCACCCTATGCTAGTCTAACGTAACCCTATGTTGTGGTCAGGTGATCTCGGCCAGAAAAGGAGAGTTTGAGACAGGCTTTGAGAAGGGAGGCCAGACGCGGGAGCACGCCATGCTGGCCAAGACGGCTGGAGTCAAGCACCTCATCGTCCTCGTCAACAAGATGGACGACCCCACCGTCAACTGGAGCTTGGAAAGGTGACTCAGTACAATGTACATACATGCATCTTGGTAGAGAGAAACAATATGTATATTTAAAACCAAATGCAGAATCTACAATATCTCATCTAATGTGTTCATTAACCCTCATGCTGCACAGCTGGTTATGACAGACAGTCATAGAATAGGAAAGGTTTTTAATTAGAGATTGTGTTCCTCAATTAGTCAACATTGTGATATTGATATTTAACACAGTAAAATAACCCATCCTCCTCCCTCTCCACTACAGGTATGAGGAATGTAAAGAGAAGTTAGTGCCATTTCTGAAGAAGGTGGGCTTCAACCCAAAGAAGGACATCTACTTCATGCCTTGCTCTGGGCTAACGGGAGCCAACTTGAAGGACCCCATAGAGGAGTGCACGTGGTACATGTAAGTCAACCTCCGCACTGTTCTCTGCCGAAAGTACATGAAAGTCAATCCCTTTGTGGATGCTGAGTGACGGTTGCTTGTCAAGTCTTAATTTTCATAACAGTCCATCAAATCAATGTACAGTGCCTTGCAAAAGTATTCACCCCCCTTGGCGTTTTTCCTATTTTGTTGCATTACAACCATGTAATTTAAATATATTTTTATTTGGATTTCATGTAATGGACACACACAAAATAGTCCAAATTGGTGAAGTGGAATGAAAAAAATAACTTGTTTCAAAAAATTCTAAAAGATAATTAACGGAAAAGTGGTGCGTGCATATGTATTCACCCCCTTTGCTATGAAGCCCCTAAATAAGATCTGGTGCAACCAATTACCTTCAGAAGTCACATAATTAGTTAAATAAAGTCCACCTGTGTGCAATCTAAGTGTCACATGATCTCAGTATATATACACCTGTTCTGAAAGGCCCCAGAGTCTGCAACACCACTAAGCAAGGGGCACCACCAAGCAAGCGGCACCATGAAGACCAAGGAGCTCTCCAAACAGGTCAGGGACAAAGTTGTGGAGAAGTACAGATCAGGGTTGGGTTCAAAAAATATCTCTCAAACTTTGAACAGCCCACGGAGCACCATTAAATCCATTATAAAAAAATGGAAAGAATATGGCACCACAACAAACCTGCCAAGAGAGGGCTGACCACCAAAACTCACAGACCAGGCAAGGAGGGCATTAATTAGAGAGGCAACAAAGACACCAAAGATAACCCTGAAGGAGCTGCAAAGCTCCACAGCGTAGATTGGAGTATCTGTCCATAGGACCACTTTAAGCCGTACACTCCACAGAGATGGGCTTTACGGAAGAGTGTCCAGAAAATAGCCATTGCTTAAAGAAAAAAATAAGCAAACACGTTTGGTGTTCGCCAAAAGGCATGTGGGAGACTCCCCATACATATGGAAGAAGGTACTCTGGTCAGATGAGACTAAAATTTAGGTTTTTGGCCATCAAGGAAAACGCTATGTCTGGCGCAAACCCAACACCTATCATCACCCCGAGAACACCATCCCCACAGTGAAGCATGGTGGTGGCAGCATCATGCGGTGGGGATGTTTTTCATCGGCAGGGACTGGGGAAACTGGTCAGAATTGAAGGAATGATGGATGGCGCTAAATACAGTGAAGTTCTTGAGGGAAACCTGTTTCAGTCTTCCAGAGATTTGGGACGGACGTTCAAACGGACGGACGTTCAAAAATATTTTGCATCTTCAAAGTGGTAGGCATGTTGTGTAAATCAAATGATACAAACCCCCCCCAAAAATCCATTTTAATTCCAGGTTGTAAGGCAACAAAATAGGAAAAATGCCAAGGGGAGTGAATACCTTCGCAAGCCACTGTAGCTCTGCTGACTTTTCTGAAACTATAAAAGTTCTCTCTATTCCCATAATAATTTAAAATCCATAAATATAGTATTAGAAAAGCTAATAATTTATTGTCCTAATTATTCTTTGTTGCCAGAGGGTTGCCATTCATCCCACACCTAGACAGCCTGCCAAGCTTCAACAGAATCACTGACGGCCCCGTCAGATTACCCATCGTTGACAAATACAAGGTGAGCGCAACTGCTGTCATGAGTTATCCCAGTTACATATTTCTAGCTCTGTATTGCACTCAACGGCATAACTAACATAATTCTGAACCAAGCCAGGCCATTTTATTCTGTAGAAATTAATAATCCATTATCTCAGAGTTTGACAACGGTTTATGACTGCCAAAAGATAATGATAACACAGGACTGCAGCTGCTACACAACACACACACACACACATTCTGGCCTTCCAACATCAGGGTGTCCTTCCAAGTTCTCCCTACTGTATCCAAGAACAGCAGAGCACAGCTATTTTCTCCACAAGACAATTTAGCTTTCTGGCACCGGTTTCATCAGCGTGTGGGTGTGTTTTGGAACAGGTTAGAAGGCAGGGAACGTGATGGAATGAAGATATTGTATAGCTTTCTCAGCAGGTCTTCTACACACACACACACACACACACACACACACACACTGCAGGGTGTTATGAAACCCAGGAGCTCTAACTAGGTCTGCTATTCAGTTGATATAATGGAATTACGGTCCAGTTAATTGGGGGCTGGTTAGATTGTTAGACTAGCTGGCAGTGGGCCTGTTCTAACTTCAGTACAGTAACACAGGGGGTCAACAGCTTAGCGCTAGTACACTGAAGATATGGCATCTTAGGTGGTAGCATAAAAGAGAAAGGAAACAAACTTTCAGCATTTTTAACAACCATTTTAATCTCCCAGCTGGAATCCATTTTAGTTTTTTCATTCATTCATTCAATATCAAGGGGATCTTGCAAACTGCAGTATTCTTCCTAACCCTTAGTACCATTCTGTTGATGTGCCTATGAGCAAGGCACTTAACCCTAATTGCTCCAGGGTCACTGTTAGTAATGGCAGACCCTGGCCGTGACCCCATTCTCTGAGGGTATCTCAGGAGGAGTTGGGGTATGCAAAAATCCCATTTTGAAATGTATAAGCACCTACCAAATTATTAAAACCTATTAGAAGGGAGCAGAGGATGAGAACGGGAACAAAGGATGTAATGTAATAGTACCATTTTCTTTAACTGGTAGTAAGTACCCTTGTGCGAGCCAGAATGGCTCATAGAAACAGGAGCCTCCTGTTTCTGTAGCATGAGGCAGCTTGATGTACAACACCACCTGGACAGGACGGTAGTCTATCGCAGGGCCTTACCCCCAAACTATCTCGCATCGGGTCCCATTTTTACAGTCTTTGGTATGACTCGGCCAGGGATCGAACTCACAACCTTCCAATCTCAGGGCGGACACTCTAACCACAAGGCCACTAACTTGAACTGGTAGAATAACCTTTAACCTGGTCTTGGATGTGCTCTTTGCTCAGGATATGGGCACGGTGATCTTGGGGAAGCTGGAGTCTGGCTCCATTGCCAAAGCCCAGCAGCTGGTCATGATGCCTAACAGGGTAAGGCTCTCCATAGGTCATTCATCTGTCCTGCTCCTGGAGAGTATACATTACACAAGTGTACAGGAGCCCCTTTCACAATTTACATCTACTTTTTACTCATTTGGCAGATGCTCTGCAGAAGAACCTCTGCTAAATAATTAAAATGTAAATTGTGAAAGGGACTCCAGACTTCCGACATTAAAATGCACTTCAGTTTTGGATTCTCCAACATGTGCACACCTGTGTTAAAGGCGTTACTTCAGGTTCTAGTGATTATATTTCCCTTCCCAGACCCAGTTTATCTTGCGATTTAAGATTACTAATATAGTACTTGATGTATAACATATACTGTATATACAGCACTATGATACATGTGATGTGTTATCCCTACCCCCAGCACACAGTGGAGGTGCTGAGCCTGCTGTCTGACGAGGTGGAGACAGATGAAGCTGTTCCTGGAGAGAACCTGAAGCTAAGGCTAAAGGGCATCGAGGAAGAGGAGATTCTGCCTGGCTTCATCCTCTGTAACGCTGAGAACCTCTGCCACTCCGGACGCACCTTTGACGCCCAGGTAGCCTACGCTCCTTAGGACAGGTCTAAGGTCCTCTGTAGCTTGGTTGGTAGAGCATGGTCGCTTCCAACCCCAGGATAGTGGGTTTGAACCCCGGGACCACCCGTACGGAAAATGTGTAGTGTAGTGTATGCATGCATCCATGATTGTAAGTCGCTTTGGATAAAAGCGTCTGCTAAATAAATGGCATATAATATTATATTATTATTGTCATCTTAAGAAGATACACTGCATCAGAGAAATGTAAAATGATAGTGATGCTAGGCAGGGTTGGGGAGTAACTGATTACATGTAATCTGATTACAAAAAAACTAACTCATCAGTAACGTTACCGGCTAAAATATTGTTATCAGATTACAGATACTTTTGAAGAAGTAGGTGGACTACTTATTGGACTACTTTTGAATTCAGAAAGAATGTTTGCGGAAAAATACATTATGACTAATGTTCCCTCTAAGCTGCCCACAGAGAGAAGCACGAGATTGAACTTCACTCAACTTTCTAGAGCAGTGGTCACCGACCGGTTGATCGCGTTCGACTAGTCGATCTTTCAAGGCATTCCTAGTCGATCGCCAAACATTTCTGTAAAAAACCCAACGATGAAGCCATGTGTTCCAATTCATTTGTCTTGGGCTGTTGGCGGTAGGTGCAACCAAGTCGGTTTCACAAGTAATACAACAACAGATCTTTTACCTGTGTGATCATATAGCCTATCTCAAATTTTGAAATATAATTATAAAAAATGGCCCGAACAACAATGCATTGGCAGGGCAATTCAAGCAAAGCCAATATGCAGTGATAATATATATTGGGCCTATAGCTTACTGCACAAACCTAATTTCTACATTAGTGTTTTTAATTGGTTAATGTTGCATAGGCATACATTTTTTACAGTTGAAATCGGAAGTTTACATACACTTAGGTTGGAGTCATTAAAACTCATTTTTCAACCACTCCACAAATTTCTTGTTAACAAACTATATTTTTGGCAAGTAGGTTAGGACATCTACTTTGTGCATGACACAAGTAATTTTTCCAACAATTGTTTACAGACAGATTATTTCACTTATAATTCACTATATCACAATTCCAGTGGGTCAGAAGTTTACATACACTAAGTTGACTGTGCCTTTAAACAGCTTGTAAATTCCAGAAAATGATTTCATGGCTTTAGAAGCTTCTGATAGGCTCATTGACATCATTTGAGTCAATTGGAGGTGTACCTGTGGATGTATTTCAAGGCCTACCTTCAAACTCAGTGCCTCTTTGCTTGACATCATGGGAAAATCAAAAGAAATCAGCCAAGACCTCAGAAAAAAAATAGTAGACCTCCACAAGTCTGGTTCATCTTTGGGAGCAATTTCCAAACGCCTCAAGGTACCACGTTCATCTGTACAAACAATAGTACGCAAGTATAAACACCATGGGACCACGCAGCCGTCATACCGCTCAGGAAGGAGACGCGTTCTGTCTCCTAGAGATTAACGTACTTTGGTGCGAAAAGCGCAAATCAATTCCAGAACAACAGCAAAGGACCTTGTGAAGATGCTGGAGGAAACAGGTACAAAAGTATCTATATCCACAGTAAAACGAGTCCTATATCGACATAACCTGAAAGGCCGCTCAGCAAGGAAGAAGCCACTGCTCCAAAACCGCCATAAAAAAGCCAGACTATGGTTTGCAACTGCACATGGGAACAAAGATCGTACTTTTTGGAGAAATGTCCTCTGGTCTGATGAAACAAAAATAGAACTGTTTGGCCATAATGACCATCGTTATGTTTGGAGGAAAAAGGGGGTACTTGCAAGCCGAAGAACTCCATCCCAACCGTGAAGCACGGGGGTGCCAGTATCATGCTGTGGGGGTGCTTTGCCGCAGGAGGGACTGGTGCACTTCACAACATAGATGGCATCATGAGGAAGGAAAATTATGTGGATATATTGAAGCAACATCTCAAGACATCAGTCAGGAAGTTAAAGCTTGGTCGCAAATGGGTCTTCCAAATGGACAATGACCCCAAGCATACTTCCAAAGTTGTGGCAAAATGGCTTAAGGACAACCAAGTCAAGGTATTGGAGTGGCCATCACAAAGCCCTGACCTCAATCCTATAGAACATTTGTGGGCAGAACTGAAAAAGCGTGTGCGAGCAAGGAGGCCTACAAACCAGACTCAGTTACACCAGCTCTGTCAGGAGGAATGGGCCACAAGTCACCCAACTTATTGTGGGGAGCTTGTGGAAGGCTACCCGAAACGTTTGACCCAAGTTAAACAATTTAAAGGCAATGCTACAAAATACTAATTGAGTGTATGTAAACTTCTGACCCACTGGGAATGTGATGAAATAAATAAAAGCTGAAATAAATCATTCTCTCTACTATTATTCTGACATTTCACATTCTTAAAATAAAGTGGTGATCCTAACTGACCTAAGACAGGGCATTTTTACTAGGATTAAATGTCAGGAATTGTGAAAAACTGAGTTTAAATGTATTTGGCTAAGGTGTATGTAAACTTCCGACTTCAACTGTGTCATGTTAAAAAAAAATCTGAGCGGTAGATCTTGGCTTGCGTTTTGACTCAAAGTGATCTTGACTCAGAATAGGTTGGTGACCACTGTTATAGAGTTTTCCCTGTTAACATTATCAACATTGCTCTTTACTGTGGCAATTGTGATCGAATCAACGCAATATTAGCCACTTTCAATACAACATACCGAAACAAAACTAACTATGCAAGAGATTTTGTTGTAGGCAGAACGTATCGGAGTAGGATTCTATTGCGTTGACATGCACTACTCAGCCCGTACTCTACACAGACCGGTGTGGCATAAACAATCAGAGCTGCAGTAGGTCTATATGCAAATAGACCATTGCCATATATGGATCTATGCCATTTACTGTTTACAGCATGAGCGGTCGTGAGTAGATGCACTTGTTTTGAGATCAAAGCGAGAGCTGCATGTAGCCATGTGTGCACATTTTGTTCATATCCTTTGCTAGTTAGTCAGTTATTAGCCCAGTTACAGATAATTTGTAGTCAGCATTAGGGGAGTGATTGCTTCCTACAAGAGCACAAAACATATACATTTCTAGACATCTTTGAAAAGCGAGTCAGGTAAAGAGCATTTTTTTGGCAGTGTTGTATTTTGAGACAGGCTGGAATAAGCTAAGTAGCCAATAGGCAGAGGGTGGCATAATCTGTCTGATTCTCTGTAGTAATGGCATGGGAATAATAATGCTTTTTATTTTGTGGTTTCTTGCATCAAACAACATAACAACATTTTCAGTCACCTCCTTGTCTGAAGGACAAGTGGATAAACAGGTTAATGTCAAGCCCTGTGTGTTTTTTCCCCAAAAGTCTCATGGAATGTAGGCCTACATTGAAGACCACACATTGGCTGTTACTGTAGGCTGAATGGTAGAGCTATTTCCATGTTAAAATATTATGGGATGCATTTTCTCCATTGTTTTTGATGGTAGGCCTACATTATGATCAAATAGCCACAGTAGCCTACATGGCCACTGTTAAAACTGTAACTTAAAGCAGGTAAAGCCTCAGTGTTCACAGTAAACGTGCGCTGGAAGTTGCATAGAATTTTCACAACGTTCAAGTTTGCGCTCAGCAGACCTGAAATTTGCTCAGTGCCGAAAACAATTTGAGGAAATATTGGTTATGACAACCTTCTGTTTTCTCAATTAAATTAAATTCAGCATTGAAAAAAGGCACAAGTTTAAGTTTGTTCCATCTGAGCGAGTCTGACCACAAGTCAGAGTCCACTATGATTTTTACATTATTTTTTTTTACATTTTAAATTTTTTTGTCATTTTGCAGACGCTCTTATCCAGAGCGACTTACAGTTAGTGAGTGCATACATTTTTTCATACTGGCCCCCCGTGGGAAACGAACCTACAACCCTGGCGATGCAAGCGCCATGCTCTACTAATTGAGCTACGGTTGACGTTTATTGGGATGAATCTTGTTTTGAGGCAGAACTGAGCGATTTCCACTAGATAGGCCAGCTGCAAAGTCCAAATTGGCTATATTGTAAAAATGTATGAAAACAAAACAAAAGCTTTTTGGTATTAATTTAAGTTTAGGGTTAGGCATTAGGGTTAGCAGTGTGGTTATGGTTAGGTTTAAAACAGTGGAGGCTCCTCAGAGGAAGAATGGGACAACCATTTTACTCATTGTAATTTCCTAAAAATTAAAATAGTGAAACATTAAAGTTATTCGTTTTAGATAAAACTATACTAAATATATTCACGTCACCAAATAACTGATTAAAACATACTGTTTTGCAATGAAGGTCTACAGTAGCTTCAACAGCACTCTCTGGGGGAGCACCATGGTGTAGCCGAAGGACAACTATTTTCCGTTCTCCTCTGGGAACATTGACTTAAATACAAAACCTAGGAGGCTCATGGTTTTCACACCCTCCCATAGACTTACACAGTAATTATGACAACTTCCGGAGGACGTCTTCCAACCTATCAGAACTCTTGCAGCATGAACTGGAATGTTGTCCACCCAATCAAAGGAGAATGAATCTAGTACTGAAAGCTAGCACTGCAGTGCAGAAAATGTGGTGAGTAGTTGACTAAGAGAGAGAAAGACCATAGTTGAACCGTTTTGAACAAATTAATTTCTTCAAAAATTAAGGAGAAGCAGCAGAGCGAGAGAGATATATGCTCATTTAATGCAGCTAGCTAATTTAGCCTACTCAAACATCTGGCTCAAACAGAGAGGAATGCTATTTATGTTAGCTATCTGGCTAAGGCTATCCAAGACTGGAACTCTTCCAAGTCAAAGTAAGCTTTCGGTTGTATTAATTTATTGCCACCGGGGCCCGCCGGTGTAACTGCTAAACTGGTTGCTGTACACTGTACTGCGTGATTGTAGTGGGTTTACTAATGCGTTAGTTCTAGTAGCTATGTTGGCTATGACGTTAGCTAATATGGTAACAATGATGTATGTTGTGTGCAGTGGTTAGCGGTTATGGTATGAAGGTTTGGCTTGGAGAGTTTTTTTTGCCTGGTCATTTTTTGCCTGGTCAAGGATTACTTTATCCTATCCCAGGTATTCCTTAAAGAGGTGGGGTTTCAAATGTCTCCGGAAGGTGGTGAGTGACTCCGCTGTCCTGGCGTCGTGAGGGAGCTTGTTCCACCATTGGGGTGCCAGAGCAGCGAACAGTTTTGACTGGGCTGAGCGGGAACTATGCTTCCGCAGAGATAGGGGAGCCAGCAGGCCAGAGGTGGATGAACGCAGTGCCCTCGTTTGGGTGTAGGGACTGATCAGAGCCTGAAGGTACGGAGGTGCCGTTCCCCTCACAGCTCCGTAGGCGAGCACCATGGTCTTGTAGCAGATGCGAGCTTCAACTGGAAGCCAGTGGAGTGTGCGGAGGAGCGGGGTGACGTGAGAGAACTTGGGAAGGTTGAACACCAGACGGGCTGCGGCATTCTGGATGAGTTGTAGGGGTTTAATGGCACAGGCAGGGAGCCCAGCCAACAGCGAGTTGCAGTAATCCAGACGGGAGATGACAAGTGCCTGGATTAGGACCTGTGCCGCTTCCTGTGTAAGGAAGTCTTCATCTAATGCCTCTTAAGGGAAAAGTAATCCAAAAGTAACTGAAAGTAATCAGACTGTTACTGAGTTTGGGTAATCCAAAAGTTAAATGACTGATTACAATTTTGGACAGGTAACCGTAATGGATTACAGTTAGAAAGTAACCTACCCAACCCTAATGCTAGATTGGGCTTACTAAATATGTAAACTCCAGCACTTGCAACTCTGCTAATTTCTCTGGTGTTTTAAACTTTGTTTTCAGATCGTCATCATTGAGCATAAATCCATCATCTGCCCAGGTTACAACGCAGTCCTACACATCCACACCTGTATTGAAGAAGTACAAATCACAGTGAGTTACTAAATTACAATAGCTTGTTTACATCTCCTAACCCGACCGGGTCTCTTTCCAATTATAGTTTGCCAACCACGGGTATCTTCTCTGTCAGTGAATAATGGTCATTAGTAAATAAACCTGTATTTAATTCAATTCTCTCCTCAGGCCTTAATCTGTCTAGTGGACAAGAAGACAGGTGAGAAGAGCAAGACGCGACCTCGCTTTGTCAAACAGGACCAGGTGTGCATCGCACGGCTTCGGTGTGCCGGAACCATCTGCCTCGAGACCTTCAAAGACTTCCCACAGATGGGGAGGTTCACCCTACGAGATGAAGGTAGTGTGTGTATATGTGTGTCTGTTCCTGTGATATTGTTTTCCCCCATATATTGTTTCTATTGATGAATATGAAGAATATTCTACTTGATATATTAGAAAACCATTGCCAAATGGAATACTAAATATTTTTATAACTATGTAATTGTCTCCCCTTTCAGGCAAAACCATTGCTATTGGCAAAGTGCTGAAGCTGGTACCAGAGAAGGACTAATGTGAACCAGCATGGAATCCTGGGACAGTTGTCATGACAGAGGAGGAAGCTGCTGACGCCGACCTAGCCAGCCGCCCCCTTCTTACATACCACTATCTGCTGAAGAAGACGAGGAAGAGAAAGAGGAGGACAAATCAAGTTTGAAAATAAAGAAGAAACTTTAAAAAGTGACTGAATCAGTTTTTATGATGAACAATATTAAAGAAAGACAAGTCCAGTGTGTCAGCTTTCTCATATTGAGAGCTCAGCTATGCCACTAATGTAGCCACTACCCTTTCCTAGGCCAACCTCACTCTGCGCTGGTCCACCTTTTGTTTTGGAAATGGGAATGTATGCAGTGTAACTTCGTTTGGAAAGGAAGGGACTGGCGTTGCATCCGGTTGCATCACTTTGGACCAGAGTTAGCTAGTTATACCCATTAAAATCCAAAATATTATACAAAAATTGTAATATTTTGGTTGTAGTCATCCCCCATACCAAAATCCTATCTGGTATGTTCACATGCACACAATCAAACAAACATGGTTCCTGTTGTGAACATGTATTGTCATGTTACCAACAACAATGAAAATAAAGTATCAAACTGAGGAATAAAAGTAAAAGCTCTGTTTATTCTCAATTTGTTACAATGTTCATTTAGCCTTTTTTGAATATTGTATGTAGAAAGAAGTGGGCAGAAATTGCCCTCAAACTTCTTGCAAATAAAGTTGGGACGTTTCAATTTAAGAGTGACGTACACCAATCGATATGCGCAAGCACCAGCTTGGATATTTGGATAAACGTGAAGAAAGAAGCATGGCAGACAAACCGGAGGAGTTGCCACTAGATCGGGTGCAGGTAATGTATAAACACCACTTTGATAAGGTCTTCTTCGACAAAATTATAGTTGTTATATGGGTGCCAGGAAAAGTGGGGTGATATCAGTGGGGTATATTGTGTAAGCCACCTTTCTCTAGAGCTAGCAACTCGCTGGCTAGCCAGCTAGCTAACAAGCTAGGTAGCTTGTGTGCAGTCGGATAGTTCGCCACCGCACGAGGCAAGTCACTCAGTTATTTTCTGTATCTCAACGAGGAACGCTGTGAATACATTCTCAAGGATAAAATGCGTACACCTCCCTCAATTGGTTATCTTGGTGAAAGTGGCTTTGGAAAAATATCGACCCTTCACTACTCTGACTTGTAGGCGCAAAGTGAAAAAATTGTAACTAATTAAAGTTAGCTAGGTAGCTAACGTTACCGCGTTAGCTTTCTCAGCTGAGCGGACTCTAGTTCAGCACGAGTTGTAAGCTAATGAAGCTGGTTATTTAATATAGGTTGTCTATTTGCACAAAATGACCGAAATATGAATTTGTTGTCAGTGTATTGGCTATTTCTTCACACATTATCACTGTGTTCCTAGGTAAAGAAGGCTGTTCAAGCACTGCAGGCTTTCCTGAAGACCAAGTCCACCCCAGACTCTCTGCTCCTGGACGAGAGTCAACACCTCTCCCTCCTCTTCACACTATGGAAGATCCCCAAGCAGGCCCAGACCATCCGCATGTGAGTCCATTTGCCCCAACACAGTACAGAGCTACAAAACAACATGGCTACATAATACATGCATAGCTATTGAAAAATCTGTCGAACTTGTTGCCCATGCAACACCCTGTCCTGGAGCATATGTGGTGAAACTGTTATACTAATCACAAGTCGCTTCTGTTTATCTCTCTCTCAGCCCCTTGCCTTATGGCATCCGCACCGACACAGACGAGGTGTGTCTCTTCACCAGAGACGAGCCCAACATGACCCCTGACCAGACCCAGAGGTTCTACAAGAAACTCCTGGCAGAGAGAGGGGTCAAGAACGTCACAGAGGTATTTCTAAATACTATAATAGATTGTATTTATATAAGGCTTTTCTAGACACTCGAAGCGCTTACCTCATCCTCCAATGCATCTCTTCAACTGATTTACTCTAGTCTGAAGCTAGTGTTTGGCCATCCAATGTGAATAAGTGCACCCCAGCAAACCCTGTCCTCCTGTCTGTGTTTGACATGGGCAATGATGGTGCCATAGTGACTCAAAATATATCCAGACGGACTTCCCTCTCTATTGGAGTCTGTCTCTACAATTTTGAGACAGTTACTTACTGTCATACTGTATATGTATGTAATAATGATGATGAGTGCTTATGTAGTTTCGATATTGTCCTCATTTACTTATTGGCACATGAGACTCGACTCACCCATGCATATCCCATTGTCTTTCTTTAGGTGATCCCTTACAAGACGCTGAGGACCGAGTACAAGCCCTTTGAGGCCAAGCGACGGCTGCTGGGGAATTTTGACATGTTCCTTTCAGACGACCGCATCCGCCGCCTGTTGTCCTCGCACATCGGCAAGCACTTCTACGAGAGGAAGAAGTAAGCTTACAAATGCTTGTAAATATTATTGGTTGATCAGCTTGTCTATTTTAGTCAAATGAAATCTATTTAAAGACTCATTTTGGCACTGGTTCGGAACCTGGTTCACTCTCAGTATGAATTTTGGTTTAACTCCGTTGCTATATGAAACTCATTCCAGTGAGGCAGCGGAGCAGTATCCTTTTTGTGCTGTCTCCCTGTTCACTCTCTGGGAACATCAACAAAGCCCCTAGTGCTGTTCCCTGGTTTTCAAATGCATGAAATCACACAAATCTTATAAGTTTTTAAATGTGCCTTTAAGCTAGCCCTTCCAGAGTTCTAATCTAATTGTGTGTGTGTTTTCCCTCCCCTGCTTAGGGAGCCTTTGTCAGTGAACCTGCAGAGCAAGAAGCTGGCCTTGGACATCCAGAGAACCATCCAAGGAACAACAATCTCAATTTCTAAGAAAGGCTGCTGCTGGTGAGGCTTGCTCTCTGACTTGACCAATAAGTGCACCTCAGCAAACACTGTCCTCCTGTCAGTGTTGGACATGGGCAATGATGGTGCCATAGTGACTCAAAATATATCCAGACGGATCTCCCTCTATTGGAGCCTGTCTCTACAACTTTGAGACAAAATGGCAAGTAATGCACATTAATTCATATACACACTGCCTCCAGTAACATGTTATTGTTTGTGTTTTAGCATGGCTCGTGTGGCCCACTCTGGGATGGCTGCAGATGAAATAGCAGAGAATATTGATTCAGCTGTCAGCACCATCGTGACGAAACTACGCATGGTGAGTTTGCTGCCAGGGTGTCCTCCTGATCTCCCTAATCAATTGTACCCCGTCAACAGATATTTACACTTTTATTATACGTTAAATGGTAAGGTGTACTCAATGTTTATTAATGTTAAAGAAATGTGTGGGCCCAGTCTGAAAATCACCTTTGATATCTCTGTTGTCGGGGGTGAGATTACTGGGCCTATAGTACTGTGGTACGTTAAGCTTATTGCCTGCTCTGTATAGCAGTGTGATTAAACCCATGTGCCTACAATCCTCCCTTGTGACAAAGAAAGTGGCCGCAATCCGAGTGATACGATACACAGTGTAGCAATGATGTCTTTGGAAGTAACATTTAAAATGTTTTCTTCACAGAAATAGTTTTGACCTAAATGTATGAGTGAACATGTTCTTTGAGTCTAAATATGGCTGCTGTCTTTCTTGCAGAAAGGACCATTGATAAAGATTATCCACCTGAAGAGCCAGTCATCAGTGGCTCTGCCTATCTACACCTCTAACCTGAGTAACCTGACCCTGATAGAGGAAACACAGAAACAGGCGCGCACAGCCATGGACGCCAAGGTAGGACTGCTACACACACATGCTTGTAAATTGCATTGGAAGATTATATTGTTAGTTGATCAATTATACATTTTTGTCAAATGAAATCTTCCGAAGGACTCGTCTTTGCACTGGTTCGGAACCTGGTTTACTCTCTGTATTAATTTTGGTTTAAATCCAGTGCTATATGAAACTCATTCCAGTGAGGCAGGGGAGCGGTATCCATTTTGTGCTGTCTCCCTGTTCACTCTCTGGGAACATCAATATAGCTCCTAGTGCCACATATGGACTATTGAGGTAAATTGCATATATGTATATATGCGCTCCCGAGTGGCGCAGTGGTCTAAGGCACTGCATCGCAGTGCTAGCTGTGCCACTAGAGATCCTGATTCGAATCCAGCCGCGACCGGGAGACCCATTGGGCGACGCACAATTGGCCCAGCGTCGTCCAGGGTCGGGGAGGGAATGGCCGGCAGGGATGTAGCTCAGTTGGTAGAGCATGGCGTTTGCAACGCCAGGGTTGTGGGTTCGATTCCCACGGGGGGCCAGTATGGGGGGGGGGGGAATAAAAAATAATAATGTATTCACTCGCTAACTAAATGACTAAAATGTTAAATGTGTGTATGTGTATATATATATATATATATATATATATATATATATATATGCACACATGCGCTGGATCTCACATCCTCCTGCACATTTTGAATTTCAGAAAAATGCAAGTAAACAGAAGTCTGAAAAGAAGGAACAGAAGTATACAGAAAAAAACTCAGGTGCTGAGGGGGAGGAAGAGATTCCACAGCTGGTTCCAATAGTAACGCCAAAGAAAAAGGCTAAACTGGAGGTCTGTACCCCACTAGTGTCAAATGCATTTTAATATTATTAATAGATTTAATTTTTAGTTGATCAATTTGTCTTTTTGTCAAATTCAATATTTCGAAGGACTCGTCTTTGCACTGGTTCGGAACCTGGTTCACTCTCAGTATGAATTTTGGTTTAAATCCAATGCTATATGAAACTCATTCCAGTGAGGCAGGGGAGCGGTATCCCTTTTGTGCTGTCTCCCTGTTCACTCTCTGGGAACACTGCCCCCTAGTGCCACAGATGGATTGTGGAGGTTAATTGACCCACCTCTTTGTATCTACAGAAGAAGAAAATACTCCTGTCAGTACTGTGCTAATTGTTTGCTTCTCTCTCCGATCCCGTAGAAGCCGACCAAGAAGGGACTTGCGAAGGTACCCAAACCAACAGGAGGAAAGAAAGGTATAAAAGGAAAAATTACCAAGAAGGTTGCAAAAATACCCCCACAAAATATGAAAAGAAAAGTGCCTAAATCTTAGTCTGTCAGCTCAATGGAACACAACTCTCCTTGCTCTCATTACTATTTGTGCATTACTCCCCCTTTCTCTACATGACTTCGTCATACTGATATAAAGGACTGGTTCTAAATGTATATAACTGTTGACGTTTCATTTTGTTGAATTGATCCAAGGACAAGCTCAAATGAGTTGCAAATTCTTTGTCTGCCCCATAACAGGGGTTTGTTAAATCATATTTTGTGTAAGCCCAACTTGTAAATTAAAATAATTAATATTACCACAAAGTATATTTCTTGTCTTTTAATTTATCCACAATGGCAGTGTTTTCCATTAGCGCCGGCCGTCGGCTAATCGGCCGGTTGCTCATTTTCAGCCGGCTACTTTTTCCACTTCATATTAACTAGGTACTTTTCATTTAAGTTTCAATTCGCTAGTCACTCAAGCTCTCTCACGCTAGAATGAACTAAATGCATCTTCTAGCGATCTATTGATAGGATAGGCGCTGGTCAGTCACAAGGCGAGCGATGACCGGGAAACTGTCGATCCCGCGATCGGTACAATTTGTGTGAGTTGTGGTTGATTGCAGTCAAATTGCCTTACTCAGAGGAGGGAGAGGATACTCGTGAATTTGCACTTCCCATGTAATGTGAGTGGTAACGATGAGTCGAAATCCACTTAGCCTGATTTTGTTTTCTGGCACATTTATTTTCTTTAGTGTGTTTCACACAGCCAGCCACGCGGAATCGTGACGTATGGACTATTTACTGCTTTGATTGTTATATATACAGTTGAAGTCGGAAGTTTACATACACTTAGGTTGGAGTCATTAACTCGTTTTTCTTGTTAATTAACTATAGTTTTGGCAAGTCGGTTAGGACATCTACTTTGCATGACACAAGTAATTTTTCCAACAATTGTTTACAGACAGATTATTTCACTTATAATTCACTGTATCACAATTCCAGTTGGCAGAAGTTCACATACACTATGTTGACTGCCTTTAAACAGCTTGGAAAATTCCAGGAAATGATGTGATGGCTTTAGAAGCTTCTGACAGGCTAATTGACATCATTTGAGTCAATTGGAGGCGTACCTGTGGATGTATTTCAAGGCCTACCTTCAAACTCAGTGCCTCTTTGCTTGACATCATGGGAAAATCAAAAGAAATCAGCCAAGACCTCGTAAAAAAAAAAATGGTAGACCTCCACAAGTCTGGTTCATCCTTGGGAGCAATTTCCAAATGCCTGAAGGTACCACGTTCATCTGTACAAACAATAGTACACAAGTATAAACACCATGGGAGCACGCAGCAGTCATACCACTCAGGAAGGAGACTGGTTCTGTCTCCTAGAGATGAACATACTTTGGTGCAAGAAGTGCAAATCAATCCCAGAACAACAGCAAAGGACCTTGTGAAGATGCTGGAGGAAACGGGTACAAAAGTATCTATATCCACAGTAAAACGAGTCCTATATCGACATAACCTGAAAGGCCGCTCAGCAAGGAAGAAGCCACTGCTCCAAAACCACCATACTACAGTTTGCAACTGCACATGGGGACAAAGATCATACTTTTTGAAGAAATGTCCTCTGGTCTGATTAAACAAAATTTGGAGGAAAAGGGGGGTGGCTTGCAAGCTGAAGAACACCATCCGAACCCTGAAGCACGGGGTGGCAGCATCATGCTGTGGGGGTGCTTTGCTGCAGGAGGGACTGGTGCACTTCACAGATGGCATCATGAGGAAGGAAAATTGTGGATATATTGAAGCAACATCTCAAGACATCAGTCAGGAAGTTAAAGCTTGTTTGCAAATGGGTCTTCCAAATGGACAATGACCCCAAGCATTTTTCCAGAGTTGTGGCAAAATGGCTTAAGGACAACAAAGTCAAGGTATTGGAGTGGCCATCACAGAGCCCTGACCTCAATCCTATACAAAATTTGTGGGCAGAACTGAAAAAGTGTGTGCGAGCAAAGAGGCCTACAAACCAGACTCAGTTACACCAGCTCTGTCAGGGGGAATGGGCCAAAATTCACCCAACTTATTGTGGGAAACTGGTGGAAGGCTCCCCGAAACGTTTGACCCAAGTTAAACAATTTAAAGGCAATGCTACCAAATACTAATTGATTATGTAAACTTCTGACCCACTGGGAATGTGATGAAAGAAATAAATCATTCTCTCTACTATTATTCTGACATTTCACATTCTTAAAATAAAGTGGTGATCCTAACTGACCTAAGATGGCATTTTTACTAGGATTAAATGTCAGGAATTGTGAAAAACTGAGTTTAAATGTATTTGGCTAAGGTGTATGTAAACTTCTGACTTCAACTGTGTGTGTGTATGTATGTGTATATATATATACGTACACAGTGGGGAGAACAAGTATTTGATACACTGCCGATTTTTCAGGTTTTCCTACTTACAAAGCACGCAGAGGTCTGTAATTTTTATCATAGGCACACTTCAACTGTGTTTGAAAAATCCAGAAAATCACATTGTATGATTTTTAAGTAATTTAATTTGCATTTTATTGCATGACATAAGTATTTGATCACCTACCAACCAGTAAGAATTCTGGCTCTCACAGACCTGTTAGTTTTTCTTTAAGAAGCCCTCCTGTTCTCCACTCATTACCTGTATTAACTGCACCTGTTTGAACTCATTACCTGTATAACAGACACCTGTCCACACTCAAACAGACTCCAACCTCTCCACAATGGCCAAGACCAGAGAGTTGTGTAAGGACATCAGGGATAAAATTGTAGACCTGCACAAGGCTGGGATGGGCTACAGGACAATAGGCAAGCAGCTTGGTGAGAAGGCAACAACTGTTGGCACAATTATTAGAAAATCACCCTCGGTCTGGGGCTCCATGCAAGATCTCACCTCGTGGGGCATCAATGATCATGAGGAAGGTGAGGGATCAGCCCAGAACTACACGTCAGGACCTGGTCAATGACCTGAAGAGAGCTGGGACCACAGTCTCAAAGAAAACCATTAGTAACACACTACGCCGTCATGGATTAAAATCCTGCAGCGCACGCAAGGTCCCCCTGCTCAAGCCAGCGCATGTCGAGGCCTGTCTGAAGTTTGCCAATGACCATCTGGATGATCCAGAGGAGGAATGGGAGAAGGTAATGTGGTCTGATGAGACAAAAATAGAGCTTTTTGGTCTAAACTCCACTCACCGTGTTTGGAGGAAGAAGAAGGATGAGTACAACCCCAAGAACACCATCCCAACCGTGAAGCATGGAGGTGTAAACATCATTATTTGGGAATGCTTTTCTGCAAAGGGGACATGACAACTGCACCGTATTGAGGGGAGGAAGGATGGGGCCATGTATCGCGAGATCTTGGCCAACAACCTCCTTCCCTCAGTAAGAGCATTGAAGATGGGTCGTGGCTGGGTCTTCCAGCATGACAATGACCCGAAACACACAGCCAGGGCAACGAAGGAGTGACTCCGTAAGAAGCATCTCAAGGTCCTGGAGTGGCGTAGCCAGTCTCCAGACCTGAACCCAATAGAAAATATTTGGAGGGAGCTGAAAGTCCGTATTGCCCAGCGACAGCCCCGAAACCTGAAGGATCTGGAGAAGGTCTGTATGGGGGAGTGGGCCAAAATCCCTGCTGCAGTGTGTGCAAACCTGGTCAAGACCTACAGGAAACGTATGATCTCTGTAATTGCAAACAAAGGTTTCTGTACCAAATATTAAGTTCTGCTTTTCTGATGTATCAAATACTTATGTCATGCAATAAATTACAAATTCATTACTTAAAAATCATGCAATGTGATTTTCTGGATTTTTGTTTTAGATTCCGTCTCTCACAGTTGAAGTGTACCTATGATAAAAATTTACAGACCTCTACATGCTTTGTAAGTAGGAAAACCTGCAAAATCGGCAGTGTATCAAATACTTGTTCTCCCCACTATATACACTGCTCAAAAAAATTAAGGGAACACTTAAACAACACAATGTAACTCCAAGTCAATCACACTTCTGTGAAATCAAACTGTCCACTTAGGAAGCAACACTGATTGACAATAAATTTCACATGCTGTTGTGCAAATGGAATAGACAACAGGTGGAAATTATAGGCAATTAGCAAGACACCCCCAATAAAGGACTGGTTTTGCAGGTGGTGACCACAGACCACTTCTCAGTTCCTATGCTTCCTGGCTGATGTTTTGGTCACTTTTGAATGCTGGCGGTGCTTTCACTCTAGTGGTAGCATGAGACGGAGTCTACAACCCACACAAGTGGCTCAGGTAGTGCAGCTCATCCAGGATGGCACATCAATGCGAGCTGTGGCAAGAAGGTTTGCTGTGTCTGTCAGCGTAGTGTCCAGAGCATGGAGGCGCTACCAGGAGACAGGCCAGTACATCAGGAGACGTGGAGGAGGCCGTAGGAGGGCAACAACCCAGCAGCAGGACCACTACCTCCGCCTTTATGCAAGGAGCAGGAGGAGCACTGCCAGAGCCCTGCAAAATGACCTCCAGCAGGCCACAAATGTGCATGTGTCTGCTCAAATGGTCAGAAACAGACTCCATGAGGGTGGTATGAGGGCCCGACGTCCACAGGTGGGGGTTGTGCTTACAGCCCAACACCGTGCAGGACGTTTGGTATTTGACAGAGAACACCAAGATTGGCAAATTCGCCACTGGCGCCCTGTGCTCTTCACAGATGAAAGCAGGTTCACACTGAGCACGTGACAGACGTGACAGAGTCTGGTGACGCCGTGGAGAACGTTCTGCTGCCTGCAACATCCTTCAGCATGACCGGTTTGGCGGTGAGTCAGTCATGGTGTGGGGTGGCATTTCTTTGGGGGGCCGCACAGCCCTCCATGTGCTCGCCAGAGGTAGCCTGACTGCCATTAGGTACCGAGATGAGATCCTCAGACCCCTTGTGAGACCATATGCTGGTGCAGTTGGCCCTGGGTTCCTCCTAATGCAAGACAATGCTAGACCTCATGTGGCTGGAGTGTGTCAGCAGTTCCTGCAAGAGGAAGGCATTGATGCTATGGACTGGCCCGCCCGTTCCCCAGACCTGAATCCAATTGAGCACATCTGGGACATCATGTCTCGCTCCATCCACCAACGCCACGTTGCACCACAGACTGTCCAGGAGTTGGCGGATGCTTTAGTCCAGGTCTGGGAGGAGATCCCTCAGGAGACCATCCGCCACCTCATCAGGAGCATGCCCAGGCGTTGTAGGGAGGTCATACAGGCACGTGGAGGCCACACACACTACTGAGCCTCATTTTGACTTGTTTTAAGGACATTA